CCCCAAAACCCCAAAACCCCAAAACCCCAAAACCCCGCAAAATTAATAGTAATTGAATAATTAGTAAAATCTTGGCCAATGGAGGACAAACGTCTTGAGAAGCGAAAAGAATTCTTGAACCCAGTCAAGGACGGGAGAGTCAAGCGTGAGAAATACATGGTAGAGCTCAGAAAAAAGAGGAAGCAGGATATGTTCAGAGCTAAAAGAAGAATCAGAGTCTCTACAGGAGAAGAATCACCCCATATGAAAGTGGATGATGATGGCACCATTGAGAAAGTAGGCAAGCTAGCAGAATACATCCAGGATTATGCAGAAATCCTCCAAACAATTTGCCCCATTTTGTTTGAGAAGGAGGCAGATCTTAGTGACAAATTAAAAGAAGTGAAGAAATTATTAGGGATGGATTGTCATGACAGGAAAACTTACATCGCTCTGTGCAGTTATTTGCGCCATTTAAGCAGCAAAGATCCTGATAAATATGCTGTATTTATCATTAGAGAAGAACTCTATCCTCAGATTATGAAGATTGCATCTGCTCATCATGTTCTAGACCTCATGTTAGAAATCACTTGGATATTAACAAATCTCTCTTCATGTGAAGATAAGAATATCACAGAATACTTGTGAGGAGAAGAATTCGGGCTAATAAAATATTGTCATGCTATGGTTGGACAAGAGGATTTAAAAATTGTAGAACATGCAATATGGATTCTAAATAATCTTATGGCTGGTGACGATGCTCCTTTTGAGCAAATTTTCGGTACAGGTTCTGGTCTGTTTGAAGCAATCGAAAAGCTTTGTGATAGATCTCAAATTCCTCTATGCATGCTCAGAGTTATGGCTTGGAGCATTTCAAATATGGCTAAGTGAAAAACAAGGAGTTCAGAGTTTATTGTAGCTTTAATTGAAATTTGTGGAACTACATTATTCTGTCAGGATACAAAAACACAAGTTGATTCTTGTTACTGTCTAAAGCACCTCACTGATATTGAAGAAGAGGATAAAGAACAAGAAGCTGATAAATTAAAATCCATATGCGAAAGTGGCATCATTCCAAAGTTATCCTCATTTCTGGAATTAGGACACCCATGCTTTACTATTGCATTGCGAACTCTAGGAAATCTTAGTGCTGTCGATTGCTTAAATACCCAGAAACAGATACTCTCTGAAGGATTCTTTTGCAAAGCAGCAGAGCTTTACTGACTTCCAACTATTTATCCTATTACAGTGAAGGAGCTGTTCTGGATAAGTTCCAATCTTATTAGCGGTTCTGAACAATTTGCATGTGAGTTTTACTCGTCTGCCTTGTTTAGCATAGTTTACAAATACATCAAGGAAAACCCAATGAGCGATGTTATGAGAGAGGCTTACTGGTGTATGAACAACTTCGTTGAGAAGATTGATAGCGCTACTAGGATGGAACTAATCCAGCATAAAGAGTACCATATTATCCCATTATTTATACATATACTCAAGGAAGCAATTGCCTTTGGACCAAATGTTGAGCATATTTTGATGAGTATTGACTTCTTGCTGAGAACTTGAAAGCATTTTCATGATGAAGACGAACATCATCCTCTTTTTCAGTTTCAAGATCATGGGGGTATTGAATTGTTAGATAGTCTGTCAAGCTCGATCAATGTTACAGTTTTCACGCTTTCACAGAGACTTTTGAAGACATATTACCCGAACAATGACGAATATGATGGAAAGAACACACAAATTAGCAGGGATGATCTAGAATTTTAGTAGGCTAATTGTTTCATTCAATTCTTAAAGTAAAACAAGGGGTTTTGGGGTTTTGGGGTTTTGGGG